AAAACATTTACAATAGCTTTTTCTTTCCCTTCTTTTTTAATTTATTAAAAAAAAAAAGTCTTCAAATTTTGCAATTCTTTTGAAAATACAGCTTTTATGTTTTTTCATTAAGGAGTGGTTAACATGTACCAATCTGTGGAGGCTCCTGCTTCACAGGCATCGCAATAGGTGAACGCTGTCGGTCTCTGAATGAGGGTCTTTCCCTTCGATTTTGAGGAGGTGCAGGAGGTGCTGGTGGACCTGGCGGCCCTGGTGGTCCTGGCTGCCAATAAGGTGGATGAAATCCACCTTGAGGTGGACCAAAAGCAGCCCCATGCTGAAAGAGTAATGCAGTTTATTTTTCTTCACATGTAACACTAAATATAGCATGTGCGCAAGTCGGTCTACAGAAATCCATGCAAGTAGGAATCCACGATTTCTAGGCTACTGAGATCTCTCAATCTCTTTTTCTGTGGTCCCCAAGAAACAAGTTTTCCTTAAGTATTTAATGAATACACTTAGATTTAAGCAGGGATACTAGCGAAGCTGATAGGGCTTCAGCCAATTTCCTTTTGTACTGTGCTAAACATTAAGCCCTATAGTCACCATCTATCTCCAGCAGTTCCTTGACAGCTTATCATCAGAGCATGCAGTTAAATGAAGAGCATACAAAATTAGGGTTTAAAAGTCTAACTATGTTAGCAGTCTTTCCTTGTAACTACACGAGGACAAAAATGAAAAGTTCAAGCTTTTATTACAGAAGAATTTTGCACTGTGCACTTCCCAGTAATCATTTAAGGATGTTATTAGCATGGCTGATTAAAATATTGAATGCATAAACATGCAAGTTTAGCACAGACCCTGGTTTCTCAGCAAGATGTATACAATCCAAAAGTCTCAAGTCTTGAGGCATACGTGAGGGGTTTTTTGTTTTAATATTAGCTGCCCAGAAATGCCTAATGAAACTATTTAAGAGGAGAGTGTTTAGGAAGAAAGTTATAGCATCAAATATTTGTTTATTGTATTCTTTTGACTATCTATTTAAGTCAGGAGTGGTAGAAGCACTCTTCCACTACAGTTTCAGGCCAAGCATCCCTATGTTATTGACTGCAAAACAAGTTTTCTGTAGTAGTTAGAGAAATTAATTTTAAGACTTGGTCCCACAATAGTAACAAAGGAAATTATAGTAAACTCATGTATTTGAAAATATTGGTTCACTTCCTAACAATATTGCTGAACAATGAATTTAATAATAGAGAAAAGTAGGCCAGACGATAGAAACACATTTCTGCCCATCTTCCCTTGGGTTTGTTTATGAACAGGAGGCAGGTGTTTTAACGGGTACAGTTTGTCATTTATGTCAAGAGTTTTGAAAGAAAAATACTGAAAATAGGGGAAAGATCCAAAATTTCTGTTTAAAGACTGGTGCAATGCCCCCTGCTATTATTAGTGCTAAAACCACCTACAGATTTATCATGCTATGCAACTTATATGCCAGAATGAAGAAAAAATTGGATGTGGATTTTTTAGAAATACCATTGTTTATTCAAAGAATCACAGTAGATAGATATGGAAAAGATCAATGGATCATCCAGTCTATCTCCCTGCAAATACAGGACTGTTCCCTATGGCACATTATCTAGTGTATTTAAGTATGTATTTCTGAACCTTCCCCCCCTCCCCCTTTTTTTTTTTTTTAAAAACACAAAACTACATAATGTTAATTTATATACTGGAACACAGTGATTCATTTTAATATTGCAGACAACAGCCATTTCTCATTCCTAGTATAGAAAAAAAAAACCCCTTTGGCCACAGAACAGAACTGAAAACTCTAAAGTCTCTTCCGTATTTAGTAAAAATGTATCTTAGCAGATAACAGATTCTGTAGATGTTTGTAGAACTGAAGAATGAAAGTCGCCGTTAGATGATATTAGAGGAACACATCCACGGAAGGAACTCTGCGCGTCTACAATATTAAAGCAACAAATATGTTTCACCTGATAGTCAAACTGGTTCACTGGCCCCATTGCAAAGTTATCGGGAGGTCCCCCAAAGTTGTGATTGTTCTGGTTAAATATATGCCTGTTGTCAGGAGCAAATTCCCCACTGTCCTGACTGTTGCTGTCTTCAGATGGAGGAACGATTTCCATTTGACCGGGGGTTGGAGCCATCCACTGCTGATCTGGAGGTGGGTGAGGGGGTTGGTGAGGCATTCCCCATTCTGTTTAGGATTTAGAATACATTCAATACCAAGTTAGTACAATTTATGAGAGTCACCAATTACTCAACGTTCTTGTATTTACCACAAGGATCCTCAAAAGCAACACAGATTATAAAGTTATAAAGAATCATCAATCTAAAGACTGTATTATACCATTTCAATGATTTTATCAACTAAATAAAGAAAATACAAATAGCTGTAGCTGAACTAAAACATGGGAGGGGCGAACTGGATGGACACAGGATGCTATAAATTTGTTTTATAAATTGCCAGTGATATTGAAGGCCACCATAGCACTTACAAACTGTGTAAACTGTTAAACACCTGCTCCTACTTCTCTATTTCTATGTTGTTCCAATTTTCAAAGTAATGAGCTATAGATTTAAGAGATCTGTTACAGAAAGCAAATGGGTTTGTGAGCAGCAGAACCACTGAAACCTGCTTTCCAAAGTCTCGTGTCTTGATAATTGATGATTCCCTGGATTCTCTAATACGTAGCAGAGGTCCCAGCATAAGCTACAGTCATAAGTCCTCCAATGTAAGTTACAATTGGCTAACAAAGTGAAAAGGGTTTAAGGAATGAATGAATAGCTTATGTGGCCATAAGCGTTGTCTTCTTCGGAAATCAGTCTAAAAATTATGTCCACTATATAGATATTTATAGATTGTGACAGAACTACCTTGTAATTTTCACCAGTAACAGAATTAACAGCTAGCTTCTCAGGTTAACTCCTACCTTCCATCCAGTGCTTTACCAATTCTTTAAATTTTTCTAATTTTTACTGTCCTTCCCATCTGCATCATAACTGGATCCATCGCTGTAGCAACTAAAAAGGTCTAACATAGTTTTTCTACTTGGTTCTTTTTTTTTTTTTCCGTATGTTCAAAGATTATATCACTCTCTTCACTCCTGCTGTAGCAACTAAAAAGGTCTAACGTAGTTTTTCTACTTGGTTCTTTTTTTTTTCCTGTATGTTCAAAGATTATATCACTCTCTTCACTCCCACTGTCATCCTGGTAGGTCATGTTCAGCTGATTAATCAAATCGTTTTACAGTCAATACTCCTAAAGCATTCTAAGGGACAGAATCCTTTAACCTTTAAGTACAGCTTACACGAGTTATTGTTCATAAATGTATGTGTTAACATCTGACACTATTTAAACACCCAGTTTACTTCAAGTCAACTGATTTGAAAGCTTACAAGTCGCATACAACAGATGCTGTTTTCACTTATGGAACATGAATCCCTTCAAAGTGAATTGTCTGCTAGTTATGCAGTTGGTTTTCAGATTGCCATTTTGCTTTTTTATTAGTAGCATGTTAAGGACTTTTGGATCAAAAAAGAAACTTGGAAGGATATGGAGAAAGATGAAGCTTTGTAGAAACAGAGTAATAAGTGAAGTTTGGCTAGCCATGCATGCTATGATTTAGCTGTGAGTACTTTTACACATTAAGAATGACATTGCCTAAATCAAGGGAAGCTGGATCACATCTGCATCAGCATGGTCTTTACCAGTGTCCCAAAAAACTGGGAAAACAACATAGTCTTAAAATGATATACCCAATGATAACAAAATGCACTGGCACATTGTTTCCTGTTAACAGAAGGTGTTACACTGTTCTCACTCCTAGATCCAAAATGTTTTCCTGTTCTGCATTTTCTGGGTAAGCTTGGGCACCAAACATTTACAATTATCAGCGAAATGTCTTCCTCAGTTTTACCATTCTGTGACTATTTGCAAAAACTACCACTTAAGATATTATTCTCCTTCACCTCACAGATGAAAAAGCATAGGAGGAAGAACCTACCACCACAGGATCATATGAAAAACAAAGTTGTCCAATAATGACACAGAATTTCTGTGAAAACCTCTGCTCACTATACAGAAATACAGGTAGAATACATTGTATACACTGCCACATAGTAAAGTCAAAATTCTTACATGTGGCTACAATAACTTATAGCCCAGGGCAGGTAGGTGAAACTTAAGTGAAACCTGATGGCTACCTCCCTTTTGTAGGCACATGTAAGAACCGCCAATGACACTTTAAGCCTACTTTTATTAAACATTGCACTTAAACAGATTTGAATAGTCAGAGTGAAAACCGGGGCTGCTATTCCTTCAATCATTAACAGAATGAAGCATGAAGTACAGTTTTCACCAAGACAACAGAAGGCCTGCATACAGGCTTACTAAGTGCCTTGCTCACACATTTCAAATTGCATTATAGTATGGTGACATAAGAAACCTTGCAGAAAACAACTTCAGAAAAATTCTTAGCAGAAAGTACCCAGTCTCTGCCCCATGCTTATTGCCAATGTTATTTTATGAAGCTTTAAAAAGAAAATTAATTTTTGGCTAAAACTGGAGTTTAGGAATTTCAAAGAACTGAAAATAATCAATACTAACAGAAGTGTTCAACCAACTTTAACTTACAGTAACTGAAAAAATGACACAGATGGTGGTCAGATACCTAAGTCAAAAAGGGCAAATACTGAACATATGAAACACATAATAAGAACATATCTTACACACAGAATTTTGCTCATCTCCTTTTTAAAGATTTTAAGGCACCTAAAGCCAGCATCTGCCAGTTATACTGTGAAGTCATTCTACAAGTCAAGATCATGCCAGAAGCAGGTATTACGCTACAGGAGAGGGCAACAGATGCTCTTTAATTCTGAGGCGTCCTGTTGCCTTCAGTGCTGCTGTTACTACTGGATAAGCAACAAAACACATCAGATGTAAGAACAAGATCCAGGTGAATAAATATATAACTGCCATTCAACACTTTATCTTTCGACAACATTCAGGGACAGAATCTTTTGCATATGTATATTCTAAAACCAATTTATTTATTTCATATGGAGATTACTGAGTTGTGTTATCAGACCTTTGTGCCTATACTGTTACCCTTTCTGTGGAACACCTGACTGGAAAGTAGCAGCTGTGATACTCAGTTAACTAGTTGATGCTACTTTTGCGTCTTGAAACCTGAGGGACAGGGCATATTCACACTGAAAAATGTCTGGCAAATAAAATTTCATTACCTGAAAAAAAGGAATCAATAGGAAGGAAAACAAACCTGGCTGCCACATTCTGTTGAAGTTGGGATCCCCCTGAAAATTATTATGGTTGTTTGGACCAGACTCTATTCCTGAAATATCCTGTCCGTTTGGCATCATTCCTTGTTGTTCCACTACGCTCTGTTGCCCTGAGGCTTCTCGCTGAGCAATCCATGCTTGAGCTAATGCAGCCCAGTCAATCTGACCTAAAATAAACAGAGGAAATTTAAAAGGTTAGTATTCACGTATCTGAAGTTTAACACTGTTTCTCAATTACATGTCTCACCGCTCAAGAGAAACAGGCAACAGGCAACGTTTACCTTCAGCAAGTACCACGAGCACCATTAAATTTTTTTCACAGTGTACAGTAAAACAAACTGAAAGCAAATGTCAAAGTATGAGTACTTGCTGAAGTAGAGTTTCTCTGCATAAGTTCAAAATGCCGTAAGACAGATTATTTTAGGTTCACACTAACACTGAATGGGTGGTAGTAATAAACCTTGTTCATAAGTGAACTGATTTTGATATCAGAAAGAAATATATATGGCCTTAAATTCTAAATTCATCAAGATTCAAGTGTAAGAAAGATACATAGTTACAAAGGTACATTTTACAATGTATACTTTTTGTCTAACCCCTGATTTATGGAATGCTATTTTATGTTACAGCTCTCTTCGCCCCTTTTTTTCTTTACTAGCATTCCTACCAGTAAGTAAGTAAATTGCACTCTCAGATGAGGACGCTAGTGTGCCTTCTGCCCATTATCAAGTGAGGAATTCTCTCTAGTGAAGTTACAGAAATTGAAGTGACAGAAAGCAATGTAAAATCAGTTGTGCCTGATCACTCTGCCCAAGTATTAAATACACGCCTCCACTCTCTTTATCCATTTCTGTATTTCTCTTGACACATTGAGTGAGTCACCTCACTCTCAATTTAAAGTATATTATGTTCTACTGTTTAAAATGTTTGGGGTTTGGGGTTTTTTTGGTGGCAGAAAAAAAATCCAAACAAGAGATAATGATCATCACTGCAGTAACCTGAAACAAATATCATACTAATCTTCTAGTGAGAGTTTTTCTGTGTATACATCTACACTAGTACTTCTGCCACACAGGCACTGAATAAAAGGCAGATTTTCTCAAATAAAAAAAACTGACAAGGATATAGATTCTGTAAAAGTACATGAGGTCTAAATGTTGATCTATATGACTGGTAAAACGTTGATAGTTTGTCCACGATAACTCAGGTTGCTTGCCTGTATTTTGCATACTAAACATGAACTATGTCAAATCATTTGGTATCCATGTATGTTTTCTATTTTTTCTAGTTGTTCAGAAAAGCATCATAAATGTGTTATCTTGAGAGCAGCTACAAAAAAAGCAATTCTCAGTCATGCTCTGTAACAAAGATTCAAAAATACAAATGACAACAGATTAAAAATAAATGAATCCACAAAGCTTTCTATATACTTACTTGGATCTTGCTGGTGCTGAAATGACTGCATCCACTGCTGTTGGTTCAAAGGCCATTGCTGCCAAGGTTGTCCACCTTGATCCCACATCTTTTAAGTCTTTATATAGTCTATATTTCAACTAAAAATAATAGTTGTATGTTTAAATAGATGCCCATGAAATATCACATAACTGAAACTTACATAACTGCAGATATAGTTAAGCCTTGCAAAGCAAGCTGAAGCAATGCTGGCTTAATATTTTAAGCTGGAGGAAATGGTTCATCCTTTAGAAAAATATTACTGTAAGATTTCAGAAGCCTAGTATGCTTTCTCTGTATTTTTGCGAAGAAATTAACTACAAAATGATGTTCAAGGAGAGATATGACAAGTTTCTAAGACAAGAACTCATCTGACAATAAATGCAATTTAAAGTAAGTCAAAATATAAAAGACATTACTTAAATTATATCCTTGCCTGTTTCTTAGGGAAAAGATGTGTATTTTTCTATATAGGTGTCATGCAAGGCTGTTAAGCGAGACAAAGGAAAGTCAACGAATGGTAAAACACATCGTTAACGATTGCACTGGAGAACTGCACAGGTACCAGATGGTGTCCACATGCATTTTGGGCATTGTACAGGCTCATTATAATCTCTAAATAATATATGCCTTCAAATCTGAGAAAGGAAAAGAAGTATCACTGCATAACTGCACATTCACCACATGGTCCCTCAAAATCATGAGAAACATTTTTGGTGCCGTGTCATGTATCCTCACTGAGCAGGCAGCAACAGCGCTAGGACCTGATGGTACGGAAGCTCCACAACCAGCTTTACGTGAAGCTCCAGGACCAGCTTTGCAAGAATTCAACAAGGCACAGCAGTCTACCAGGTAGGTATGTCTATAATGGCATACAGTTCCTTCTGGTCATTTGTACCTCCCGTGTACACCCAACCTGCTACACACAGAAGACCAGAGAGCAGCCCCCTACGCTGCTCCCAACAGCAAAGCCTGGGCACAGTTTTGGGAATGCTTCACTCCAGGAACTGTTCCCAGTGACAGTACAGGTAAGACTCCACCAAGCACGACTCCCTCTGCCTTTCCCAGCCAGTTAACAACTCCTCAACAGGCTTTCCACTCCCAACGGATATATCCTCATGCCACTCAACACACAACCCTTGTTTTCAAGCTATAAAAGCACCGCCCGTGTAGGCTGTTTGAAATGCTCCAAAGTTAAAAGAAACACAGAAAAATTCATTCCCCGAGGTCACAGGAGCAGCACAGAAGACCTAGTCGACGCTCGCAGCCGAGTGCAATATGGAATAGATGACTACAGCCCGTCCGCTTCAGAGGACACCAGCTTAAAGCAGCCGGTGCCACTCGGGTGGCCAGCCAGGAACGTAACCCCAACCATCCTTACCAAGCAGGACACACGCAGCCCAGCGGACGGAGCTGGCTTTCGGTAGACACAAAAAGAGCAATTAGAGTGGATCCTGCTTGCAAAGGGACCTCGTGCTTAGTGCTTACACATTCATGTAAATAATTGCTTGATTGCAAGGAAGACAGCATCACACTACAAAAATGTACAACAAGAGAAGCTGTACATAACATTGTGGGGTGTTGGGTCATGCAGAGAAGAATGCAAGCTCATATTTTATGTACTTTTGTCAAATTTTGTTTTTAAACTGCAAAAACTGTAGATCACCTTTGTTTTGAGATCACTTACATTCAAGTCGGTACAAAAACTACATGTGTACGGCTACGAAAAATTCAGTTGCAAATGCATTTTGGGGGGCTTTAAACAAGACAAGATCAACTTTGGGAACAGGGGGGATTATTGGGCATAACCTGGTTTTCTACTTTCACAATCTTTTCTTGCCAAATTAAGTATTTGGGTTTTTTCCTTTTTCACGATACCTTTCTGATATTCAAACTTTTAGTTTAGAAGAGAGTGTCCCTCTTTTGGGTTTTTTGGGGGGACAGGGTGTGTGTGTGTGTTGAGGTTTTTTTTTTTAAGATTTTGATCCTAGGAAGTCAACTTTCTGACACCAGTTGAGAGTAAAAGAGTGGCTAATGCACACTTAACCCAACATTTAAGCTGGCCCTGCCACTCCTAGCTCCCCAATACATCTATTCATATATACATATTTCATACACAAAGTATTAAAAGGTAATTTCTCATACTATTTTCACCCGAAAGTAAGAAAAAAGTGTTTCTTCCTCCCCTCGATTCATCTTTCCATCCAGAATCCAAATTCCTTCAATTGTCAGAAAAAACCTGTCTACATCTTAAAACAAGAGTTTTAAGAATGGTGGTTCAAGATAACCACTAACCTTCAAAGCACTGCACAGCCTCACGGTGCCGCTCCCTTTGTTTCCAGCTGTTAAATCACACTAGCAATAATAAAGAAGTATTTTGGTAATTCTGGTATCACTTTTTTACCTAAATACATAATACCTTGGAAAAAGTTCATGAAATTTCACTAAAATAAACCCACCAAAAGCTTTAGAAGATTAAATTGTTCCAGCAATAATGTAAGAGGCAGGTTTGCACATAACTGAATGCCAAAAAAAAAAAAATTCAAACAGTTAAAGAAATTGTCAACTTCTCTTTATGGAAGTGTAGCAATACTAAAGAGCACCTCTACAAATTCAACTGAATTGGAACCTCCTACACATTCAGTTTTTACTTGATTAGATCGGATGAGATTTATTTTTACTGGAGTGGCTATATCTCTGTCCTAAAATCTTGGACATTCAGGATTTTTTTTTTTTACATGCTCCAGCTAACACAATTAGCTTGTAATAAACTTTTGTACCTGTTAAAGCACTTATCAGTTATCTTTTTCTCAGGGATTCTGCACTGAAAAGGATGTTCAGTATTCTAGCTTTTTTCTTTATTCTCTCACTATTGAGAAACTGAAGCACTGGTTTGGAGCTCAAGGTAACAAATTCCTCCAAATCTCTTCTGTACAACCTGCCCCCGAGATAGCAACTGTCTTACTATTTTACAAGGCGTTCAAAGAAATGAATGCAGCTATATCAACTGGCACCTGAAAAGGTGACCAAAAAGGTGACACAGAAGACAGACAGTGACTTTAGGCAGTGGCACCATTCGTTCCCCTCCTGGCTACCCTCTTGGGGAGTTACCTAGGCTGCTGAGGCCAAGCCCACGCTCCTACGGGCAGCGGTGCCGAAGGACTCCACCATCTCGCCATTACCGAGCAGCACTGACCCAGGCCACCCAGCACTACTCTGGGCTGCTCCCAAGCATGTTTCAGGTGTCAGCACAGACCTGGGACTTAGCAGGCAGTTGGGACGTGTCTGTTCTGGTTTGGGAGGTCAGAGACTTTCATTCAGTGCCAGCTGGCTTCAGGGCCAAGGAAAAAAACCCAGTCGGGTTTAGTAGTTAGCATACATAGCAGTTTCTCCATCACTCTGCAACATAATACGGCCTAGAGTCTTCAGCTTTCCCCAGACATGATTTCACCTTATTATTGCTATTTTGGGAAGAGAAATCAGGTGGGCAAGTGCAAAGCAAGAGGTCAAGATGTGGAGTCGATTTCTATTTTGATGCACAACAGTATGACAAGACAGCAACAACTGTGTAAAGCCTTGAAGAACTTCAACATTTGGTTAATTCAATTTATGACATGCAGAACAGTCTGATTTAAAATCACTGCCATTTGAAACTTCTCATTTTAGTTTGTGAACTGTATTTGAAAGCTTTTAATTCTGTATTGCATTTGTGCTTTTACTGTTTTCCTGAAGAAATGTTGATTTTCATAGGTTGAGAACTATAAAACATGCTGGCTTTCAAGTACACAGATTTATTACCAAATTTAGTGTAAAAAACTTTCTTTACTAGTCAGAAACATGAACTACACAAATACTTAAGCAATTACATCACTTTCTTTATGCATCTGTATGTGTACACACAAAAGCCCTTTTTCAAATATGATGAGAAAACTGGCCAAAACTATTTCAAATTTTCTGTTTGCTTCAACTCATCTTCATTGTTGTGGGTTTTTTTGACAGAAATAGGAATTGGATAAAGAAGGAACAAAATTAGCATCTTTAAATGTTTATAAAACTAACCTTAAGATACACTGGCTAAAAGAGAAGACCACATGTATTCAGATTCTTTTGGTATCAAAATCTAAATGATGTATTTTAATATGCACTATTCAAAGCTAGCAACATACAAGGGTTGTTCTAAGTCCTCCTTCTATACGGTGACCTGAAACAGCAGGACACCATCACTTTCTGAGAAACAGGTTAACAGATTCCCCTGCTTTTTTGCTCCCTGCTTGGTTTCCTGTACTTTATCCAAGTTTTCACTAACCAGTATACGGTAAACATGAAAAAGGTACTTGATGAAAAGTCTTCTCACTGCAAGTCTTACCATAATGAACAAACCAGATGTGAGTTACCAAAATAACACTTTTGAACCTCAGTGCCATAAACTGGAAAATAGCACAAACTACTTCTAAAAGAATTCACAAAACACAGCAAAGAAAATGTAGTCTGTTCTCAGTAATTTTAAATTTACTGTTCACCCCCAATACTGACAGGAGAAAAAAAGAAAAAAAACCAAAACCCCAAAACCAAACAATGCCTCTCCCCCACCAAATCAGTAACTTAAAGGTTTGAAACAGCTGAAACCTCTTGTGCTAATGTACATGACAAGAACCAAACATTGTTTTCCTGGAACACGTCAAGCAGTAATAATGGACAAAAGAGAATCAAAGTCCTCTCCCACCTAATTAAAACCTGCATTGCCAAAGATAACTTAGGAGGCTGCCACACAAATTATAAATGAGGTTTAATTTCTTACAAAGTTCCCAAGTTAGCATCAGCTGAAAGAAAGAGGCTTCACCTAACACGACAGACAGCTCGAAGCCTACTTCCCACTAGTGACACAAGGCCAAATACACAGCACTGCATCCAAACTGCAGTGAAACAAGCTTTGTTTTCCACTGGGGGGGATGAATACTGGATAAAATCTACTAAATTAAAACATCAGTAAGACAGTTACTTAATAACAGAGGGGTTCATCAATTGAGAAGTCATTAGGACACTCTGGTTCCGATGTCACCAGTGTGTACAACAGGTTTTGAAAAGCAAACAGGTTCCAGGAATGGATCCATTTCACAGGCACCTACTTGTAAAGGAAAATGTAGATACTACCCTCCCTTATGATAATGGTTGAGGTTCTTTTACTTAGCTGTTCTACCCACCATTCAATTTGATATAGCCTTTCTGCTTTCTCGCTTTCTAGCAAACATGAATAAACAAAAGCACATTTATTGGTGCTTCAGGAGACATTCCCTGATGTCAGATCGCAGAACAGGAACCTGAATCCATTAAAAATCTGTTTACCAATGAAGAAACAGAAGCCAATTCAGGATTCTTTTTGGTTTATACAGAAATACAATTACATGGGAAAAACATCCTGTCAATTCACATTTAATTTCAGTTACATGTACTCAACAGGTTATAAAAACTTAATGTGCTATCGAATTTTTGCTAGAGTTTTTAAGAGCAGACATGTTCTGAAATATGTTCTGTTGTATGTTTAAAAAAAAAAAAAAAAAGATTCCCATTCAAAGGCAGGACCTACTGAAACTTTATTCAAAGGCAGGATCTGCTGAAGTTTTATTATAGCAAATTACTGGCACTAAAACATGCCACCTTTGAGAGGACTGTTGGTGAAAGCTCCCCTGCTGGTGATAAAAGCTGACATAGTGGCATAGATAGGACTTACCTTGATACCCAGCAAATAGCAACCTCTGAGAGTCAACAGCACCCAGAAAAATTTAAAGTTGGTGTCAAACTCTCTACTATACTTTAGTATTCTACCCAACAAAAAGTTAGGTTAAGACAGAGAAAGGAGAGATATTTTAAAAGGCACCTTTCCACTCCTCTCCTCGATTGTGATGTGCATCTCAGCTACAGATTACACCTCAGTGTTAACCTGTTCCTTCAGGAAAAAAGACATCTCCTTCAACCTGCCTATTCGTCCGCAAAATAAGGTATTTTCTGATACAGTTGCATGATGTGTCCAGACACACCACACACACTGAAAAGTATACAATTAGGAGCTACTTACCAGTAACCAGAGTTTTGAGTGATAATTCATATGTTCACCTTCAACTCTGGGAGACTCCCCCCAGTAGTCCCCACAAAACACAGTTACCTTGAAGCAAATTAGAGACTTCCACAGCGACGGGAATACCACCCTGCCAAATAGAGCATGGTTTCCTGAAAATTTCCCAGCAGCGCAGTGACTGGTGACAGCCCCCATCATTAGTTGCCCACTGATGTGAAAGATGGGCCCGTTTTTTAGATAAGGCCACCAACAAAACTTGAGCTCTAATGGCCTCGCTCAGATTCCTCAGACAACTCTTAATTCGGCAGTTTCATAGCGTAAGCTCATAAAAATCTGTTATCCAGTTCAACACCGCTTGTGCAGAGGTAAATACGCTCGGACCTCTCAACACTGGAGAGGAGCAATCTTAGGGAGCGAGACTTAGTCCTGTAAACGTCAAAAGATGAAGCCCACTTGTCATCCTGGAGATGCTATCTTCCTTACATGCCTTACAACACTGGCTGAAGCAGAGCTGAAAAATATCAAGAAATTTCCCCTGGAAAGGTAAGCAAGACCTGCCCCTAAATAAAATTTAATAGAGCTAATGGATAATCTGAATTGCTCCATTTCATGCAGATAGTCCAAGACAAGAAGCACAGAGACTTACGAAGCTCCAGAAGAGCATCAGGAAGATAACTAACCATACCTAGTTAGCCAGATGAGTACATCTAGCAGACTCTTTCTTGCTCATTCTAAGAACCTCCCGTCATTGTGACAACACGCTTCTCGCCAATATGGATGCTACACAGCATCAGAACTATGCAGAGCCCCTTACACAGCGACAGCTTCTGCAGAAAAAGAGATCTGGAGAGTCTGCATGGCTTGTCCCAGGAAATTCATGGAAGTGAGTATCTTGGCAATGAAAAACAAGTATTCTTTGGAAGATGAAATTAAATAGGATATTTGTTAGAAGCAAGAATACCTCAACTCGAAGAAATCGGGACACAGCCTAGGACTCAGGCTGTCCCTAGGAGGAAAGCAGCAGGCAACCTTCTGCTGTGTCATGAGCTGAAGAGATCAAGGTTAGGAACTCCTAGATCACACATCAACATTGTTTGACCAGATCTCCCGGACACAATCTGGCAGTCTGATTTATTCAACCCTGTAGACAGGTAGACTAATGACAGATGATTCTGGAGCTTACAGAACCAGAGCCAATAATCAAGCGCCTTCTGATGCAGAAGAGAGGCTCTTTCTGATAAGGTTATTCATCATCCCTGAACGGCAGGTCCATATGTGACATGAGATGGCCTGACAAGTTTTACTTGCAATCTGAGCACTAATACATAGCTGCAGAAGTCCTTCTGGTGACTAAAGATCTTGTCTTGCAGGCCTTCCAAACAGGCATCACATTTCAGCAAAGAAGTATCCATTATCTAAATAAACAAAGCTGAAACTGCAGGCCATCACACGTACTTTGAGAACCCCTACACAGCTAGGTTTTGGACCCCATGGTTTAAAGACAACACACTCTTTTTGATATTCCATTCATAGGTCCTGGTTTGTAATAAACTGCAAGTACTGTTTTTGAAACAAATTAATATTAAATAATCAGTGTCATTAGCTACGTAATCTTTTGGCATGAGCTCAAGACAACACAAGCAGCAAAGGTACATTAGTCTCTCTTTGATGCTCTTTGTGGAATCCCTGGGCTGCATGAAGTCACCTATGTCATGCCCTGAGAAGGTTCTCAAAAGCACCGCATACTCTGTGAGCAGAGCTTCTCTGTCCCATATAGGCTGAGGCTCTGGAAATGGACCTAAAGGAAAATGGAGGGGTCTAAGGAGCAGAAGCCCTTGATATCAACAGCCCGATCTCCTGGTCTTTTGTGTGAGCACCTTGTTCTAACATAAGGCCTTTTCCTTTCATTCAAGGTAGTTGATATTGACTCTGTGAAGTTTTAGCAGAGTGACTGAAGGTTTATGGTGAATTTCAATGATGAACTTTGTGGAACTGTTCATTTGCAAGCAGGATAAACCTAACCATACAGTCACAACACCTGGAGCAAAGCAGTTAGTAGAAAGACCAGGAATCAGACCAATGCCACCAAGAGTTCAAGCTGAACAGTGTTGCTGAACACCTGAGAGCAGAGCTCTGTTTCCCGCCACCCACCCCACCCCACCCCCCCACCCTTCCTCCCACTATGCTACTGCTTTATCAGGGTTATGATAGCATAGACATCACTGACATGATGAGGCTGGAGCCACTAGTGGATACTCTAGGGATACAACCCCAATAGTTCACAAGTTTCTCCCAAGGAATTACATAAAGCAGTTCATCCATGGTATGTATTATGGACGTCCAACCAAGCTGGAGTCCAAAGTCAATAAAGAACACAGACCATATAAGCTCCAAGAATATCTATCTCAATGTGCTCCAAACTGACAGGAAACAAACTGAGCACTTCTTCCATGACTGTGTCACTGGAATAAAGAATACTGTAAGAATCTGTACACAGCAGGTGTGACTGAAAAGAGAGATGCAAAGGAAAAATGGCCTTGCACACCTGGAGGAGCCCCTTTACCAAGAAGAAAAAATTAATGCAGAAAGGGTACCATGAGAATCATCAGCTGGTGTTCTTAATGTGGAAGACCCAGGTAAGTCAGAACACCTCTGCAGCTGAAAAGATCTGGGAGTATGGAAAAGTGCTGCACCCTATGCACCCACATAGGAATGAACTCCAGGAGTTACTGCAGAAGGGCTGCAGATGCACAATTCACTCAGAGTCAGAACAAATGCATACCATCACTCAGATAAAAATATACCAGCTTCCATTTTATCTGGGAAAACAAATATCTACTACTGTATTATACTCAGCTGCTGAAAATTAAACATTTATGGGGTGAGTTAAGTTTACGATAAATCAGAAAAAAAAAAAGTTAAAATAACTATCTTGACTGCTACTCTCTTTCATCCATTCTACTTCTAGTTGGCCAAAGATTTTTCTGCATCATCTAGGGCATCACCCTAATCTGTTGTAGGTATTTAATGCCCAGATACTATGCATCTTTTCTCTTCCTGAGAAGCAGAAGCTACACCGATGTGCCTGCTGAGATCTGTTAGCAAGATATCCAGTAAAAACTGTGTAAAATTCTCCCAGCCCATTTACAGTTGTGTATCACTAGAATGCTGGAAGTCAACTTCAGTTACTCCACTGCATTTTTTAACATCAGAACTGTTCTTTCTCACATCGAAGGATAGAGTCCTTCCAAATGCGTAACCAAGATCCAAAACACAGAACCAGAAAAAGAACTGAAGAAAACAGCTTGCTCAGTATCTACAAAGTTTTCCAGAACGTGGTTCACACGTCAGCATACTTGACTAATATTTGCAGTGCTACCAAGTAGCTGAACAAAGGCCAAATTTAAAAAAAAAAAAAAGTACTATGAAAACTTCTTCAGTGAGTCAGTCAAGCAGCTGTAGCTTCCAAGGTCTGTTATTTTAAACTTAAATCCACATACCCAATGAGCTGAAGCCAAGCCTTTTAAAAGAACAAAAGGACCAGATATTGGCAACTCAGGTATCATTTACTTATTTTTTTGTACTTTGAAGACATAAGGACAAATACATGCTCTGATTATCATAAAGCACCAAAACCACTGCTAAAACAGTCACTATTACAGAAACATCATAGTAACTTAAGTAGTTTGAGTCAAAACTCTATTGGGTATGGGGGGAAAAAAAAAGTCTGATCTGATTATTTTTTGCACATATTGTTCCACTATAAGACCTAATTTTTAATTAGCCATGTAATACAGCATTATTTTATTCTTAACTGTTCACCTGCAACTTCCTCCTTGATGAACATGCGCTGTACAAAAAACAAACAGTACCAATAGCTAAATAAACAAACAACTATTCCTTGCTGCTCATGAGCGGATATTACCCTCAATGATAAATACAGTTACCGCTTAAGGAAGAGAGATCAGTAATTTATTAAAACCTATCCACAGTGTTATTTCTTGCCAAAAGCAGACTTACGATTATCACGTACCTCAGTCATGAAAAGAAGAGAGACTGGACACTCCTGTCTCCATAATATCTTTGGATAACCGTGCACCTAACTAAAAGCAAACATGGTTAAGACTCCTCTCTACCACTACAGGTTATATGGCGAGTTGTCCACCAAAAATTTGTGGAACTGTGCTAAATTTGTGGTCTCTTAAGCCCTGCAGTACCCTGAGCCCAAAAGTGGAGAAACCACTCTTTCAGAGCAGGAGTTTGCATGTCACATGTGACAAAGACAACACAGGAAGTCTCATAATGGCATAATAGCACAGATGACACAAGGTTTGCTGCTGCCCCAGACAAATTAAAAATCAGCAGCTGGTCTTTCTGATTTGTCACTGAATTGCCAGGAATGCTAGTGACTGGTCCCTGGACAAAGCCAAGGCTCCCAGTTCCTCCTGTGTTCTACAATCAGGGGGAGCCACAGCATCTGTCACCTCTGCGAGAGGCACCATCTCTCAGCACGTCCTGACTTCAGAATTCAAAAGGGGTTTCTTACTCCTGCACACGATAGAGCTGTTCAGCTGGACCGGACTGTTACTTGTAACCCTGTCTTTGTAAAATGGTGCTTGAATATTGTCTGCTGGTAGACATGCCTTCTGCTTCGAAGACTACCGCTCCTCATCTTTAGAAGGTAGCTGACCCTTTGCCCTAAGACAAATCCTTCAGAGCATCCCTTGCTTGCTGTATCCCACACCTTTCAATAAAGATTGTTTGCATGCAAACAGGTATGACTGCAAGAGAAGAAATGAACAAGCACCACAGTGGCTGAGTACTCTGTACAGTAATTTGTTTCCAAAGCTTGATAAATTTCAGCTGGGGTAGCACATCATAGAATCAGCCCATGGTTTGGGCTGGAAGGGACCTTCAGAGACCATCCAGTTCAACCCTCCTGCCATGAGCAGGGACATCTTTCACTAGACTGGGTTGCTCAAAGCCCCATCCAACCTGATCCTGAACACTTCCAACAGTGGGGCATCCACAGCTTCTCTGGGGAACCTGTCCTAGTGTCTCACCACCCTCATTGCCAAAAATTTCTTCCCGTCCCCATCTTTTCTATAAGCCCCCTTCAAGTACTGAAAGGCTGCAATCAGGTCTCCCCGCAGCCTTCTCTTCTCCAGGCTGAACAACCCCAACTCTGTCAGCCTTTCTTCAGAGGAGAAGTGTTCCAGCACTCTGATCATTTTTACGGCCCCATCCTTAACTGTAAAGCCTAGTACATCTCATCCAAGTTCAACACTGAACGTTGCAGGATTGTCTAAAAAAAGCACTGAGAATCTGTGTGGATAAGTGCTTAATGCAAAAAGGCTTGCAAACCTGTGGTCTGCATAGGAATCGATTTAGAAATATCCGGCATTTGCCAAGCTACCGAACCAGGTGCAGGTATCTCACAAATGTTGCTGCGTGTGACGGTATCATTAGTTTTAGTCCTCTGGAGCCCTCCAGTGGAACGGACTCATGAGAATGGCCACAAAACCCATGGAACGGCACAAATATCCCACAAAGACATCTCATCTGCAGGGGCCAGGCTGTTGGGACAGTCAGCTACCCAGTCCCGGCGCACGTGTTGCTCCCTAACGAGGCCGCTGGCTAAACGAGCAGATGCTCTCCCCGGCGCACCGAGGGGCGGGACGTGACCCGCCACCAGCAGCCTTCCTCCGGCGCGTCCAGGGCCAGCTCCGCGCTTCCCCCGAGGG